GGCCTAATATATGGCCTAGTGATAATAAGTAATGATTTGGTTAATCCTGAAAAAAAAAAAAAAGAGTTTACAGACAAATTTGATTTTAGAATAGTATCATTTTAAAATGCAAGAAAGAAAGAAAAAAAAAAAAAAAAGAGGGAATTCTCCATGTACTTGTTGCCTAAAATACTGAAAAGAAACTTTCCTTCATCTTGAAATCCCAGCATGGGCTGGTTTTAAGGATTAGAGTACATTTATAAAATCTGACTCATTCTAATGATCGCCACAGAATCCTACTCTAATTTAGAATGGTGCTTTTATAGACTTTGGAATTGCTAGCCCTGGCAAAGCCTTTATATTGGAATATCCGAAACTTCGTAGAGATGTGATTTCTGTAGATGAAGAAGAAAATGGGCCTTCCATAGACACACATCATTGATAATGTACCCTGTCACAGCAGTAGCTCTTTGGCACAACATATGGCCACAGAATTACCTTTGTACTACCCAACTGAGGGGTATAATATATCCAGGCTGAGGAACTGTTCTGACAGGTAATACATTCAGTGCTGCACATGTTCTGCATCCAAACACACGGGCTCTATGTTCAAGAGCTGACTGTAACAACACAGCTCTGTTGTAACTGTAACTGATGAATCATGAGCTTTTCCTTTTATAGCAAAAACAGCATTATATGCTACCATCACAAATGACAGAAACAGGTTTAGAATAGCATTAGCTCTGACGGACAGTAGGGAGAAGAATCTCAGCTTTGTAGCTGCAAGCAGCTAAGATTTAGAAACTACCGATTTCATTATAAAGTCCACTTATATTCTTTGAATATCGGGATATCAGGGAAGGAGGAACCATGTCTGACTTTAGGTATGACTATAGTTAAGTCTGAAGCATAGACAAGATTTATCAAAGGCACATATGTATGAACAGGTAATTAAGTTGCATAAGAATTTTCTTTTTTTTTTAATTTTTAATTTTTATTTATTTTTTATCCTCACCCGAGGATATTTTTCCATTTTTTTGTACAGATAGAGTGGGAGAGAGAGAGAGGAAGGGAGAGAGAGAGAGGAAGGGAGAGAGAGAGAGAAACATCGACGTGAAGGGACACATTGAGTGGCTGCCACCCGCACGACCAACCAGGGCCGGGGAAAAACTGCAACCAAAGTACGTGCCCTTAGCGGGAACCGAACCCGGGTCTCTCCGGACCGCAGGCCGTCGCTCTAACCGCTGAGCCAAACCGGCCAGGGCAAGAATTTTCTTTTTTTTAATTTATTTATTTTTTATCTTCACCCAAGGGCATTTTTGCATTTATCTTCAGATAGAGCAGGAGGGAGAGAGGGAGGGAGAGAGAGAGAGAAACATCAATGAGAGAGACACATCTGGTGGTTGCCACCCACACAACCCCAAATAGGGTGGGGACAAACTGCAACTGAGGTACGTGCCCTTAGCTGGAACCGAACCCGGGACTCTCTGGTCCAGGGGCTGATGCTCTAACTGCTGAGCCAAACCTGCCAGGGCGCATAAGAATTTTCTTATAAAAGCTACACAATTTTCCTAATTACTCTATAGAATGATTGGTTCATAATGTGTTTATACTTTGTCATGTTATAGTTAGCACCTTACGTTAATTTACTAGTTTCCTGTATCCAGTCAGTTGGTCCCATAATCAAATAATATCCTGACCTTTTTCTTTTAAAATTGTATGATTTTAAATCATATGACTAACCTCAGAGGGAAGGGGGTGGGGGCAGGGAAGAGATAAAACAAAGAACTTATATGCATATGTGCATAACCAATAGACACAGACAACTGTTAGATAGAAACATTGCTGAAAGAGAAACAGTGATTACCTGCCTCCTGCACGCCCCCTACTGAGGATCGAGCCCACAATCCAGGCATGTGCCCTGAGCAGAAATCGAATTGGGACCTCTCAGTGTCCATAGGATGACACTCAATCCACTGAGCCATACCGGCTGAGTTTACTGGAATATCTTTATCATAGTACACAAAGTATGCCCTTGCAGGCTGGAGAGATTAGCAGAGAGATTAAATATATTCTTTGCCTTAGTCTTCACTGAATAAAATATCCAGAAGAATCTCACTCTCATGTTTTCCCTTGGATAAGATGCATTTACATATATTATAGCACATTATAAAAATGTGCAAGGCATTTTAGACTTCATAAATAAATAAGCTAAAGAAAAACTCCTGATATTGAAAGTTGTACTCTTGAGACATGAGAAAGAACACGAGGGTGAATACATTTGTTATGACTAAATTGTTTAGAAATATGCTCTTATACCAGAGAATTAAGATACATTGAGCCCGGCCGGTGTGGCTCAGTGGTTGAGTATGGACCCATGCCCCAAGAGGTTGCCAGTTTGATTCCTGGTCAGGGCACATGCCCAGGGTGTGGGCCTGATCCCCAGTGGGGGGCATGTAGGAGGCGGACAATAGATGTTCTCACTTATCGATGTTTCTCTCTCTCTCCCTCTCCCTTCTTCTCTCTCTAAAAAATCAATAAAGAAAAAATATTAAAAACAAAACAAAACAGAAGACACTTCCTTGTCCAGACCCCAGAAGATGTAACAAGTTCATTTTCCACTGAGTCAGAAAAAGTGCCCAAGAAGTCCCCAAACCTCTTGGACATAAAAGTTAGGCTCTGCCGGTGTGGCTCAGTGGTTGAGCGTCAACCCATACATCAAGAGGTCACGGGTTCGATTCCCGGTCAGGGCACATGCCCAGGTTGTGGGCCTGATCCCCAATGGGGGGCTTGCAGGAGGCAGCAATCGATGTTCTCTCTCATCGATGTTTCTAACTCTCTCTCCTTCTCCCTTCCTCTCTCTCTCAAATCAATAAAGAAAAAAAATTAAAATAAAAGTTAGAGGACAAAATAGTAGTTAGAGTTCAGAATTGTACAGACCGAGCCTAGAAATCTTCCTACTCAGATAACAAGCTTCCCTTTCTCTATAGGAGATAAAAAGCCTCCTATGCTTTTATCTAGAGAAAATGGCATAAATGAGGGACTATGAAAGAAAGTGGCCTGGGAGCTTTATAGAATATTTATCAGCCCTCCCCAGTAAGATATAATCAATATTTTTGCCCTTCTTTCTTCTAAGCCCACCTGGATCCATTCATACTTTAGAAACTGCAATTTACCTTAGTCTATGTCCTGTTTCCTTCCTGGTAAAATGCAAAATTATAATATCAAGTAATAACCTGTGATTGTTGCTTAAGATGTTTAAAGAAGGTGGAGTGTCTTGTATAGAAAATTGCCAGTAATTAGATGTCAATATTACAAAAAAAAAAAAAAAAATGAGGGTTGAGAAACGGAGACCAAACATAATGTAATTCATTTTAGGGTAGGAGCAGAAACGGAGGCTACAGTCCAATTTCTAGCCCCAGATTCCTCAGGTTTTAGATCACCCAGATCAGAGAAGCTACATTACAGCTTTCTGGAGGAATAGCTCTTGTTCTTATTGAAAATCTGCCTGTACTTGAGGCAGTGAGATTTACCTCTACAGGACAATAGGATTAGTTACATGTAGGAGCTGCCTGCTGCTTTTGTCATTCCCACTTCCATCCCTATGGATCTGAAAGTTTAATTTATTTCATTTGGATATGTTTTTATTGTAGAGAGGGAGGTAGGGAGAGAGAGACAGAAACATCGATGTGGGAGAGAAATGTGTATCGGCTGCCTCTTGCACGCCCCCTACTGGGGATGGAACCTGAAACCAGGGCATGTGTCCTGACCTGGAATCCGGGACCTCTTAGTCCATGAGACAATGCTCAACCCACTGAGCCGCACTGGCTGGGCAATTCAAACTTTTTTTTTTTAATTCAAACTTTTAAATAAATAAATAAATAAATAAATAAATAAATAAATAAATAAATAAATGTATTTAAAAGGTTAAACCAAACCCAAACAAATAATAAAAAAAAAAATAGATTATTTAATTCTACTTTTTTCTCACAAAATATTAAAGATGGATTCACTTTATTTATTTTTTCTTATTTTTATATTATCTTCTTCTGTTTCTTCCTGGAACCTTTGGATCAATTTTTCTACTTTATATTTTTTGTTGTTTTTACCTTTTCCTCTCTAATGCTGAGAATTAACGCTAATAAAGAATATTCTCTTCCACAACATGTAAATATACTTAACATTACTAAACTGTATATTTAAAGTAGTTAATACAGTAAATTTTATTATGTGTTTTTCACCACTTTTTTTTTTTAAAAGAGTACACTAATTGACATGACCAAAAAAAAAAAAAAAAAATTCTCTAAAACCAACTCTCCAGTAACCAACATCAGAAAATTACTATTTGGAATTTTCAAATCTTTATTGTGTACTTTTCACTGGTGAACAAAATAATAATTCAACCTTTATCTGCATTGTGTTTATTAATTCACTGTATTTTATCTCTCATGCTTATTCCCCTTTAAAAATGAATTACCTACTCCTTAAAATTGTCAATAAACAGTACCAAGGAAAACAGTTGAACATTTCACAAAATTGTGATGTTAAAATGAAGTCAGTGCCATGATCACCTTTTAGAGACCTTTATTTTCCATCATTCATAATAATAAACAAGCAAAGTTACAGAGAGAGGGATAAAGGGGGATGACTTTTAATCTCAGCAGCCTTGGGACCAAAATGTCTGGTTAGAAGAAACCAAAACAGTCTTTTCTGAAGCTTATGTAGTCTCAGATGAATTGGTTTGATTGTCTAAAGTCTTTAAGTCCAGCAGGAAACAGAATAAATGAGAAGAGATGGTCGCTGCAGCGTTCATCATGATGACACGTTAACATTTTGCATCTGCAAACACTGAAGGATGTAGCAAAATTGAGTCCCAATAGCAATCAGTGGTTTTCCTAACACCCCTAGAAGGAACAATGTCTCTGTAAAAGGTCAAACTACAAATGAGTTGGGGGAACATATAGGGATCTATCACAGTTGACAAAGGACTGACAATCTGTGTTTTTTAAGGATGGGGGAATTCAGGGATTGGGCTCTTGCTTCTTCTGTAGCTCCAGTTCAGCAGCCTTTTGTACAGCTACATCGACCAACAGCTGTAAGCCACTGAAGTCCGAGTATTCCTCTGTCCCCGTGGGTTCAGGAGAAGACACACACCAGGGCGAGCAGGTGGAAATCTGGACCTTTTCTTCTGACCGGGCTTCGATCTTCTGGTCTCGGGCTGCCTCTGGATCCAGCCGCTTTCCCTCGGACTCCTGGGCCGTCGGCAGAGGGCTCGGGGGCAGGCATCGCACCTCTTCTGGGTCTGTGGGGCCTACCTGGGCCTGTGTCGATTGATCGATTTCCCCCTGGTGTATCACAGTCGCATTTCTGCCTTTCTGGTGGTGCGGGCTGATTGAGGCGAAGGCTTCTCCATCGTCTTGGAACATTTCTGGAGGAATGTGTCTGCGGACATTCATGGCCCTTTTGGCGATCAGCATCTTAGACACACTGATCCGCTCCGACCGCATTTGTGCCTCTACTTCCCAAGGGTGGAGCTGAAAGCGGTGTTCTGACGGCCCCTTGCGGAAGATCTTCTCCGACTCGGTTGGCCACATCCCTTTCCTCTTCTCGCCCCCTGCTGGGGCCTGAACTTCATCCGCACTAGTGTTACCACTTGAAACTCTGGAAGTGTCTTGGGGTGACCCTTGGGACGTAGAGCCCTGGTTTTCTTCGCCCTCCTCCATTTCCGTCTTCTGTATCTTGGGGATCGCGATTGAGGGTGGCTGAGTTAGGACTCACCGAAGTCCCAGAGACCCAGCGAAGAAGGCTTGTGCATGTCTCCTAGGACAAGTCTCAACTCTGCTTCCCAGACAAGTCAAGTGTTGCCAACTGCTTGGAGCCAACGGCCTTTGTGACGTCACATCATTTCTGACATCAGCGCTGCCCTTCACCGCCCCTCCCCCCCCCCCGGCTTTCTGGGAAGAAACCCATGAGTTTTGAGTCAAAACACCTGACTTTATTTCATACTGTAACAACAGGAACACTGAATAAACCTGTACTAACTTTCTTCAAGCTTTGGATGATGCGAAATAGGAATTATGAGCATCTCTAAGAGAGGTGGATTGCTTCCACCCGCCCACTTTAAATAAAACTTCCAAGGACCTCAGATAATCTAAATAGCTTTTATCAAATTTTATTTTTCTTCACTTCTTCTTTTTCCATAAAATACTAGGGGAATCTACTTAAAACATTGTGTTGTATATTAATATGCATCAATTTATTTACATATGACTCTGAAAACTGTCATCTCACAGTTATATAATGAATTGACATGGCATTATACTATAATGTGCACCTAATTCTCAAATTATTTAAGTCCCTGACAAGATGAAGTTTTTTTTGTTTTTGTTTTTTTGGTATATCTTATGACTTATTTTTTTTTCTAGTACTCTATTTATAATTTGAATATAAGCTTGAGTATTCTACACTTCTAATTATATTAGTCTATTTGCAGAGTTAAGAAGATGAATAAAGAAAAGCTTATGGTTTGAATTCCAATAAAGGGGGTAGTGCAAAAGCAAATTAAAAAAACATAATAAGCAAAAAACAGCTCCTCAGACAAAGCACAGTAACTTAGAGAAGCAATAATTGATGATGCACTAAGGGGACTTGGCCAACTTAGAGAAAGTTAAGTGCATAGAATTTATTATATTGTAAAGTACCCGGATGATTTCTGCCAGATATTTTGTGCTTTGAAATAAATTGAAGGAACATGAGGAAACCAGCACTAAACTCTGCTATTTGAAGGAGTGGTGGCAAGTTATGTCTAGGAAGTGTACAAAGTTCAGGCAGTCCATCCAGTGTGGCTTAGTAGATGAGCTTCAACCCATGCACCAAGAAGTCACCAGTTTGATTCCCGATCAGGGCACATGCCCAGGTTGTGGGCCCGATCCCCAGTGGGGGACATGCAGGAGGCGGCCAGTCAGTGTTCTCTCTCATGGATGTTTCTAAAATCAATTTTAAAAAAAATTGTTTTTTTTGAAACTTTTCTATGTCATATGATTTTATGTAACCTCAAATGCATATTTTTAAGTAAAAGAAGCCAACAGAAAAGACTCCATACTGTAGGATTCCAAATATGTGACATTCTGGAAAAGACAATTTATTTTATTTTTTTTATTGATCTTAGTGAGAGAGGAAGGAAGAGGGGAGAGAGATAGAAACATCGATGAGAGAGAACACTGATTGGCTGCCTCATGCTTGCCCCCTACTGGGGATTTGACCCACAACCTGGGCATGTGCCCTGACTGGGAATAGAACTGGTGACCTCTTGGTGCAGGGGTCAACGCTCAATCACTGAGCCACACTGGCCGGCCAGGACTGGCAATATTTTATGGTATTACTGATATGTGAAATCTTCTCTTTAAAAAGCCAGTTGCATAGAAAAAGAGAATCAAACAGTTGTTGCTGTGGTAGGGGGGAGTGGAAAGGTGGGTGATGCAGGTCAAAGGGTACAAGTTTTCAGTTATAAGAAAAATAAAGTCTGGAGACCTAATGTAAAGCATAATAACTATAGTTATAATACAGTATTGTATACGCAAAAGTTGCTGAGAGTAAATCTGCCCTGGCCGGTTTGGCTCAGTGGTTAGAGCATCAGCCCACAGACCAGAGAGTCCTGGGTGTGGTTCCCACTAAGGGCACGTACCTCGTTTGCAGTTTTCCCCCAGCTCCGGTTGGGGTTGTGTGGTTGGCAGCCAGTCGATGTGTCTCTCTCACACCGATGCTTCTCTCTCTCTCTTCCTCCTGCTCTATCTGAAGATAAATGCAAAAAAAAAAAATGTCGTCGGGTGAGGATAAAAAAAAAAAAAAGTTGCTGAGAGTAGATCTAATTCTCACCTCACCAAAATAAACATGTCAACTATGTGAAGTGATAGATGTGATAATTATCCTTGCTAATCATTCCAAAAGGTCTATATGAATGAAGTCATTACATTGTATGCTTTATATACAATTATATTTGTCAATTATTCATCAATCAAGTTAAAAAATAAATAAGAAAATTTGAACAAATTTGAAAGATACAAAAACAAGTGGAAATAGTATTATTGAATTTAAAAATAGAATGGAAAAAGTCTGCTTCTTATAACTGAGAATTTAATTGCCATCGAACTCATTTCTTTTTTTTTTTTTTTTTTAATCCTCACCCAAGGACATTTTTCCATTTTTTGTTCAGGTAGAGTGGGAGGGAGAGAGAGGAACAGAGAGAGAGAGAGAGAAACATCGATGTGAAAGGAACACTTCAAGTGGCTGCCACCCGCACAACCGACCAGGGCCGGGGACAAACTGCAACCGAGGTACGCGCCCCTAGCGGGAACCAAACCCGGATCTCTCAGGACCTCAGGCTGACGCTCTAACCGCTGAGCCAAACTGGCCAGGGCACCATCGAACTCATTTCTTAAGACCAACTAAATGTGTTTAATGTAATTCACTATAAAGTGTACTCAAAGGTAACATAGATCTTACACATAGAGAGGAAATATTTAACCAAAATCCAAAAGGAGATAGGAACCATGGTGTGTTTTTTTTTTTGTTTGTTTTGTTTTTTGTTACAGATGTTTCTCCTTTTTTACCCAGAACCATACATGGTATTTTTTTCCCCTGAGGATATTTTATAATCTTGCAAAAACAGCTGATAAAGTAAATTGTGCTTTTGATGGCCTTACAAGACTAGTGACATTAATCAAAGCCTAGGGTCCACCAAAGTATTAAAGTCTAAGACAACCCTACACTTCAAGCAGTTACCCCAAAGAGCTATAAATCCTGGTAAGGGAGAGCTGCCAATCAATAATCCTTCACAAAACCTTGTAGTCCATCTTCACATTAGCAAGATGCTCTGGATCAGTAATGCTGGCAGTAGTGAGACATTTCTGGAGGAAAATACAATCACCCTAATTATTTCTATAAACATATTATTTCTGTAAATATATTTTTATTTATTTATTTTTAAAATATGTTTTTGTGGATTTCAGAGAGAGGACGGGAGAAGAAGAAGAAAGAGGTGGAAATGTCGATTGGCTGCCTCCTGCACGCCCCCTACTGAGGATTGAGCCTGTAACCCAGGCATGTGCCCTGACTGAGAATCAAACCAGTGACGTCCTGGTACATGGGTTGATGCTCAACCACTGAGCCACACTAGCTGGGCTCTATAAATAAATAAATATATATATATATATATATATATATATATATATATATATATATATAGTTGTTATTAATCCTGGCTTGAAGATATTTTTCCATTGATTATTATTTTTTTAAATAGAGTGGAAGGGAGGAAAAGAGAGAGAGAAACATCGATGTGAGAGAGACATAGAATAGTTGTCTTCCACACGACCCTGACCTGGGGCTGGGTATCGAACGTGCAAGCCAGGTGCCTGCCCTTGACCAGGAATTGAACCCGAGACCTTCAGGCCATAGGCCGATGCTCTAAACCCTGAGTCAAACTGGCCAGGGCTATAAATATATTTTTATTTTTTATCTTCACCCGAGAACATTTTTTTGTTTGTTGTTCAGATAGAGTGGGAGGGAGAGAGAGTAAGAGAGAGAGAGAGAACCATCAACATGAAAGGGACACATTGAGTGGCTGCCACCCACATGACCAACCAGGGCCAGGGACGAACTGCAAACAAGGTACATGCCCGTAGAGGAAACCAAACCCGGGTCTCTCTGGACCGCAGGCTGACACTCTACCACTGTGCCAAACCAGCCAGAGCTATAAATATATTTTTAAAAACACATGTTCCGGTGGTACAGAAGATGGTTGCAGGCAGGACCGGAGGGAGGGTGAGTGTGTGAGAGAGTGAGCGAGTGTGTGAGTGGACGTGAAGGTGGATGACCAAACCTGAGCAATGCAGAGACGTGGAGCAGAAGGTTCCTGTGCCGTGGACAGAGCAGCCGGCTACCTCCGTAAGTGGCCCATCAGGGTGCTTCTTCCTGCACCGCGGAGAGGTCCCACCATTTTGGAAGATCCTGGGTCTTCCCTGGGAGGAGGCAGTGGGAGCAGCTAGGGCCCAGCAACCTGAGCCCACCAGCGCACCTGGCACCATCAGACCAGTGGACACCCTGTGTCAACAAAGACGCATGCACAATAGTGGAGCTCCCAAGGTGCTGGTCATGGAAGCCACAGACAGCCAGGAACTCAGCACCATCCCCCATAGTAGCAGCCCCATCAGAGTCTAGATATACCCCCAGGAACAGAGGCTGGGGAGCAGACATCCATCCCCAGGCAACAGAAGCACAGACCAGCAACAGAAGCACAGACCAGCAGCTGAGACACATACCCAAAAACTACAGCAAAAGCTGAGCAGGGATTGAGCCCCACAGGGCAGCAGTGCTCCCCAGCCACCTGCAGCAGGACCTGGGGCTCCACAGAGGTCTGTGCTGTCCAGCAGCTCACAAGAGCAGTGGGAAGCCCAAGCCCCAAAGAGACTGGTGCAATCCAGCTGCCCGTCCATGGGACCTGCAAGGTGAGGGGGCACTACAGAGGCCTCGGCGATCCAGTAGCCCACAAGAGTGGTGGGAAGCTGGAGCCCCGAGAGGGACTGGTGCGATCCAGCTGCCTTCCCACGGGACCTGCAGGGTGATAGGGCACCAGAGAGGCCTGTGCTACCCAGAAGGGACTATGCCATCTAGTTACCTGCAGGCCGCTGAAGCACCAAAGAGGCCTGCACCACACAGCACTGGC